GGACCAGATTTCCAGTATTGCCCTGGACCTTGGAGATTAATGGGTAAAACTGGAAAGTTACACTCGTCCCCTACACTCGATTATGAGATCCTTAGCGGGGGTCAAAACCTGATGTACCAATCAGTGAGATCCTTAGCGGGGGTCAAAACCTGGGTATGTTGGGACAGTTTGAGAATTCATCTAAGTGGGTTATCATAGTGACAGGATCAGCCCCTTTGTCGGATGATCGGGATGCACTCTCTCTGATGGAAACCAAGACTGCCGGCAGCCGATTTCAATCGTTGAGATTTATTTTGCAAAATATATTTTATACGAGATATAAAAGTATATACATATTATGGTTTCTAAAATGTTTGCAAAGGTTTTAATTCCCGGGATCCATATAAGCAGAGAGTGCAACATTGTTCCTTGTAGCCGAGGGAGAGGTCCTCTATTGTCAGGTAGTGTTTGATCATTATGGGCTGAGAGGCTAACTGTAAGACCATAGAGGGTAATACCTGATAGGCTAATCTTGCATCTGCCCACARTCCCTGGGTGTTACAAGGTGGCTTGGCCCAGGGACCACTTAGGGTAAGTGTTGGGCCTATAAAGCCCATGTGATGGGTTTCAGGGGTGTACTGTCCATAACAGTGTATTCGGCTAAGCCTTATAACAAAGGTTGGGCCGAACCCATGTGGCTAATGTGTAGATCAATGTTTGGGTCTCACGCTATATAAGGAAGCCCAACTGGGCAGCAGTTACGAAGGCTAAGTGAGCACATAACTTTAATGGGCCTAAAGCCCATTTCGAACTGGGCTAATTTAAGTAGTTAAATAAGGGGCGAATTCTGGGAATGGATCAGTGGGAGAAATCAAGGTTTGATCTTGACATCAGTTCCTTGTGAAGGGACTGATAGGAAGTTGTGCTCACGTGTCATCCGGCTATTTCTTGCGAAGGACTAGGTTCTTGGAGAGAACACTGTTGATTCTACTCCATTCTACACTGTGTCATCTTCAGTGGGAGCAGTCTTTGGATCCTTCCTTGGGCGTGAACTCCTTCGTTGGGAGATATTATTTCTCCGTATCAGGTATAATCCTCTCCTACCGCTTTTGTTCAGATCTGGTTCAGTTTATGGTTCAAGATTGATCCTTGAAAATATGATTTTCTAAAATAGGGAATGTGATTCCCAACTGAAGGGAAAGAAATTTTTTTTGAAATTCGCCCACCTTATTCCGCAAGATTGGGGTGTCCATACGATGGATCTCTCATCACTTCAGTGGTATCAGAGCCAAGTTCAAATCTTGAACGAATTTATTTCAGATCTGAACCTGCGCAAATGGGCAGAAGGCGTTCTACCCGATTTGCGCAGATAAGGGTTTTGGGAAATTGTTCCCAAAATTATGGGCGAATAATCTGAAATTAATTTTTTATATAAATCTRATTATTATTTAGAATTGTTCTTTATGATTTTCTTGATTTATGGGTTGTTCGTACAAAAGGAGATCGAAATCTTGATTTGTGCAGGGAACCTGCGATTTTTGCAGTTTCATGATTATTCTATTACATTTGGTCTGTAAAATATTTTTTTTATTTTTTTAGACTGAATGTATAGGCATTCGATCTAATGTAATTATTAATAGAAATTAGGTTTTCTATTTATTTTATTATTTTGGATCGAAGATGGCGGCGCAGAGAAGGAGATTTCACAGATGGGAGAATCGCTATCTGCGATTTGCAGTTTGTGAAACTGCAACCTGTGATCTAACCTCTATTTTGCAGGATGGATTGTACGAACATCCTTGTTTAACTGATTCTTGTTTTTCTTTTATCATTATTTAATTTCAGATTATTTTCTTGAATTAAAGATTTAATTAAAGATCAAACCCTAGACCCATTCGAACCAAGATTGGTTCAAATTGTTTGGACCGAATCTAGGGTTCGATCAAGGCTGAATGTCAGCCCTAAATTTTCCCAAAATGGGCTTGAGGATTGATAATTAATTGAATGTTTAATTCGGCCCAACCTATAAAGGCCTAGTTTTAAGTTGTTAAAACTACTAAAAGCCCACTTCGCGGATTAAGCTATATGGGCCGAACTGATCAACCCTAATTTAGCCCATATACCTAGATAATATTAATGGTTAATATTATGGATTAAACATGGGCTTCATATGGACTTTACATATATTTAATTGATTGGATCAATTTATCCTTTCATGTGATGTATGGATGTGTAATGTGCTACGTACATGGGCCATAAGTACTTGGCCCATGCTGAATCGATAGTGGCTCTTACGCACACCATGGCTGAATGCACATCATTGCCATAGTGTCCCTTTTGGTCATTRGATGACCTCCCTCAGTGGTGGGCCCACACCTCATGGAGAGGTTACGTGCGGAACCCTAGCCGATTTGGGCCCACCAAAATCTGGCTTTATGAAAGTCAGTRGGAGCCACTTTGGTTTGACCTAGATCAAAGATAGGGCAAAATTTACTATTCCCTCCAGCTAATATAAGTGCATGTGATAGGGAGATTCATATGATGAACTCTCTAAAGGCCTTCCATCAATAGCATGAGGATGGATCCTTCAGTAATGAGAAAACGCACCAGAAAATGAGTTATCCATTTGCTGTTGAGCTTGTCTGAGTGTTTCATAAGATGATAGGGGCGTCATAGACCGATGTGGGAGGGGCTTCACCAGAAAATGAGAACTCTCTCACGATACCTTGGCGTTCACGAATATGATGGGTAAGCACTCACTGGACAGAAAGGTTTACCTGAAAACGGCTCTGAACCTTGTCTGACAGAGGCCAAAGGGAAARCTCATATGATGAGTGGATRTGATCCTTCACAGAAAAGTGGTGGGGTTATGCAGCTGAAACAGTTGGCTCCATGCACCCTATGTGATTTCCCACATTTCCAGAGACAACTCACAGTCTCCGTCACTAAGATGGGAGGGAAATCTCAAAGATGAATAAATGGGAATGGGACGTAGATTAAAATCAATATCTATGTAATGAACATGAATCAAATTAGGTTGGGGACTAATGTTTGCTTTTTTACCAGAAAATGGCAAACGGACAATTTGCAAAGCTTCTTGATGACAACAAGCTGAAGGGCCCAAACTATGCCGACTGGTATAGGAACCTTATGCTAGTCCTAACATCTGAAAAGTTAGACAAAGTGGCTAAAAATCCTGCCCCGGAGCATTCGGGTGATAGGACTTCTGAGGCCCGAAGGAGAGACTATCAGGATTGGGAGGAGAAAACTCCCTTGCCCGATGTTACATCATTGCCTCATTGGACAATCCAATATAGAGGCAGTTCGATCAGATCAAACTTGCCAAGAACATATTGGATAGTCTCAAAATGATGTATGAAGAGCAGAATCGTTCTACTCGACAAAAGGTCTTGAAACAGTTCATGACCACACAAATGTCCAAAGGGTAACAAGTTCATGACCATTGTCTTCAGATGATGGGTTACATCAATGAGCTTGAAGCTCTTGGATCCGAATTGGACCTTGCGACCCAGATAGACACTATCCTTAATTCTTTGCCTCCTTCCTTTAATCCGTTCATCATGAACTATAACCTGAATAAGCTGAATGTCAGCATACAAGAGCTCAGCAATATGTTGCAATGAGCGGAAGAACTGATTAAAAAGGATGAGCCTGTAGCTATGCTTGTTGAAACCAATTTATTGGTAGCTTCTGCGTCCTGATGTATTGACTCCGGGGCTTCAACTCATGCGTGTAACTCACTGTAGGGGTTCAAGGTAAACAGAAGGCTGAGTGATGGAGAAGTTACGCTCTACTTGGGTACTTCTCTAAGTGTTGCAGTTGCGGCCATAGAAACCGTGGAGTTAATTTTTAGAGAATGAACTATTGTACTAAAAGATTGTCTTTATGTACAAAATTTAAGAAAAAATTGATTTCTGTCTCAAAACTATGTGCAGATGGTTATTCTGTCTTCTTTAGTAATACGATTACTATTAAAAGAAATAACAGATTCATCGCATACGGGGAACTGGAGAACGGTCTCTATGTTCTACATCCTTTTCTAGAAACTAACATAACCGAAACTACATCGGTTAAAATCCGCAAGAAAAGATTCTGTGATACAGTTAATCCCACGTGCCTGTGGCATTACCGACTTGGCCACATCGGTGTTGACCGAATCACAATGTTTGTAAATGATGGTCCTTTGGATTTTCTAACCGTAGAAGATCTTCCCACTTGTGAGCCTTGCCTACAAGGCAAGATGACGAAACGGCCATTTAACGGTAAGCCTGAAAGATGTACAGGCACACTTGACCTTATACATACTGATATGTGGTCCCCTGAGTGTTAGGATACGGAATCAACACGTGTATTTCATCACCTTCACCGGTGATTTCTCACGATATAGTTACGTGTACCTAATGAGACACAAGTCTAAATCCTTTGAAAAGTTCAAAGAGTTCAAACAAAAGGTCAATAAACAGTTAGAGAGAAATTAAAGCCCTTTGATCAGATCGAGGTGGCGAGTATCTCTTTAACGAATTCAGGGACTACTTAAAGGATAATGGGATAGTATCATAGTTGGCTCCTCCTGCTACACCTCAACTTAACGGTGTTTCAGATAGGAGGAATAGGACCTTATTAGATATGGTCCGGTCACTTCTCATACACTCAGAGTTACTCACATCCTTTTGGGGTTATGCATTAGAGACTGCGATTTACGTGCTGAATCGGGTTCCAACCAAATCGGTTCCGAACACTCCATATGAACTTTGGACCGGAAAGAAACCAAGTGTCAAACACTTGAAGATTTGGGGTTGTCCAACACACGTTAAAAGAACGAGTGCAAACAATTTGGAATCCAAGACCAGTCGTTGCCTATTTGTAGGCTACCCAAAAGACTCTGTGGGTCTCCCATTACCTGATTATAAACACGTGCATATTATTATTAAGCATGGAAAAATCTATGCTAGAAAGTCATGATACCAAACACCCATGAATTTTAATACAAAGAATCTGATTTTTAACCGCTTATATGATACTAGATGATTGGTCATAAGTTCTTATGATATCATAGTCAAACCCTAATAAATATACCTTATATGTTTGATTTTATATATATATGTATATATGAGGATTCAAATTATTCCCTTTGTTTTGCAACATAAGTGTCTTCATCATTAGCATACCATGCCATTTTTGCTTAAAAGGGACACCACATTTCACTTTTGGGATGATAGGTTTGGGATGGGACAGGTTTGTAAGGGTGTTTAGGTGGGTTTGGGTGGGAAGGGCAATTTTCATGGGTACCCTACCCGTTGTCATTCCTATGTAGCACATGTGCAAGTAAGTCTTTTTCTTTTCCTTTTTCTTTTTTGTTAATGCTTGTAAACAAATATTACCCATATGAGATATGGTATTTTGATTTAATTTTTAAGATTTGCATGGAACCCAAATCAAGTACCCATTTTATATGTTATAGATAGATACATGATATTTGGATTTAGCTTTTATGATCTTTGTGGAACCTAGGCAAGTATGCACTTTCTATATTATAGATAGAAGAAGAGCTACATCAAATGCTCTCTCCTTGCTCCATTCTCCCTCCTCTTATTTCTCACTTTTTGGATTTTTTTTCTTTTGTTTTTTTCTTTCACTTAATCAACCCCACTTGATTAATTTCCTAAAATGTTATCCACTCTTAGTTGGCATGTTTCCTATAGCAATGCTTCTCCCACTTATTTTTATTTTTCTTTCCTTAAAAGCCTCATTTTAAATCACCCCCCTCTCCCTCTAAATCTCCGCCCCACCGCCTGTCGCCCCACAAATGCCCCACACAACGAGTGGTTGCCAGAAGTCTAGTTGCACGCGGTGGGACGGTCCCACATGCAAGGCTAATAGACGGCCATTAGCTTGTCCAATTAGCCCCAAAATGAGCCCAAAAACCACTCCATTTTAACATTCCCACCCCCTCAACCTCAAATTGTGTCTGAACCCCGTTCTACTCTCCTTCGCCCGAGCTCGTTTCCAACTCCCTCTCTGGCACTAGCGATCGCTCCGGCCACTTCACCGTCACGAGGTACTCTCCAACCCTCGTATTTTGTTTTTTCATTTCAAATCAAAGAAACCATCGGCCATCTATAACGACCACCAGCAACATTGCTTTTTTCCCCTCTTCCATCTCGCTCTCTAGCACCGGTGATTGCTCCGACCAGTTCACCATCACCAGGTACTCTCCAATATTGTTCATTTCAAAGTTGTGTTGTTGAAAGGATCCTGGAAAATGAAGTAATAGAAAACAGACCATCTTCACTCCGGCCATTTCATCATTTTGAACACAACTACCCCTATTCAAGCACTATAGTCCAAAACTGAGTTCCTCGTGCTTATTCTTCATCAAAAAGATGAATTCATTTTAATTATTAGTTTTGTTTTCAGAGATTTGGTGAAAGTTAAGTGTTTCTCTTGAACGAAAGTTTGTCTGAAACATGACATTGATATCATAATGATTTAATTTAGAGAAATGCCTTCCTCCTTCTCCTCCATTTCCTTTCTTTGGTTTCTATAGCCCTTATTTTTTATTCATGTGCAGCTGAAGCTGTTTTATAGCACTCCTATTGCTAATATCTACTTTTGGTTTCATGTTTTCTACTATGCTGAATTCATATGCACTACGGTCGATATAAGATGTCTATCTTTGCATGTTTGTTTCTTGGTAACTAAGGCTCTATTTGGATTTTGGATAAGCATTTGCTTTTAAGCTTCGAGCTTTGGAAGATAAAATTGAGACATAAAGCATTAATTTTCATCTATCAATACAGGAATGAGTTCTCAATCCATATCTACAAGTGTGGAAAAAAATGTATACTTCGTGTATCAGAGACATGTACTAACCCTCAAAGATTATTTTACGCATGCCCTAGCAAACCTATAAGTACTACTATCCTAACATTGTGTGTTTACATTCACAATCATACACACAACTACTAAAATCTTTAGAAAATGATTTACATTTCTCAAACACACCAATAAGGTGTTTCGCAGCATTTTGGAACATATGCCATGCACATAACCGATGATGTGATTCTGGTAGCACTAAACCAATTGCTTTGGACATAGCTGCATCATCATCAATTAGAATTGTTTTAGGCTTTTTTTCCTCCCATGGTTTTGACAAACACATTAAACAACCACTCAAAAGTATCTGCAATTTCATCGTACAACAATGCAGCACCAAAAGTTATTATTTGCCTATAACTATTCACCCCAACAAATACTGCAAATGATCTATTCTCTTTGTTTGTTCTACATGTTGTGTCAAAACATATCACATCACCAAAATGAGTATAATCTACAATCATTTGAGCATCTTCCCAGAACAGATTTATAACTAATTCAGCTTGGTCAAGTTATATTGCATAAACAAACGATGGATCTTGTGATTGCCTATCTTCAAAATATTTCAAAACACCACCTGCCTCCCCCTTCTCCATATTTCTAGTCCGATATGTACGCAAGTAATTCATCAAACCCACTGAAGTAAACCCAATATTTTCACACCCACCAGCCTCGTTGGCCATCAACTCCATTACTGCTCTTGGAGCAATTCCTGCATCATCTGCCATTATAGCTTGATTACCTTGTGCTTCATTGATTTTTCTTTGTGACCTCAACATATGCGACTTGGAAAGGGTTATGACTATATGATTATGCATCTCATCAAAACCAATGACACGATAACCATCTTTCACACGACTTATCTTCATAGTTGCCATACCATCTTGTCATTGGTCTACTGGTCTTTACACTGACCGTATGTTTATCTGCTCTACGTTTGCCTTCTCTAGAGCAACAAAACTTGCAATATCTTACTTGGTTAATCCGCTTGTCAACAACTCTATTTTCTTTTCGAGTACTAAACCCCACCTTCCCAGCGTATCTATTATAGAACTCATATGCTTCCTCTATTGTTTCAAATATCATGCCAACCTTTAGAGTACACTCTTTAGGAATAGCACTTAACTTTTCTTTCAAACTTGCATCAATGCCTTTAGTTTCCTCACATGTAGGCAAATCATTAGTGAGTTTATCTAGTTCTTCACTTATGTTAGGTAAATATTTTACCTCATCAAAAGCATTGACAATGTTGGTACCCTACATTTTACCCATTCTAGATGAAGGTTTTGACGGTTCACCCTCATCTCCATCAAGTTCAAACACCAACCTTCGCATAGAGTTTGGTGTGCCTTCCATTTCTTGTTGAAAAAACTATGGAATTCAGATAGCACATAAATCAACAAAAAGATGCGCATAGTTTTTTCAAAAGCAAAAGAAAAAAGTTTCTACTCATGCATAATTATACAAGAAAAAGGAGGAAAAAAAATATCGCTTCTTGTTGCAGACTCAAACATGGATTGTTTCCTAATGAGCAATGGAACATCAAAGAACTATTGATCATATTCTATAAATACAACCAACATGTCAAATAACAAATGATATGGTCCTTGTAGAAGCATTCAAATACCCAACTGCATACAGGTGGTTTATTAAATAATTTACAACATAGAAATCTATATGAAATATGGTACTACACTATTGGGCTAAAGAAAGCAAGAATGCTCTGTATATTTACAGATCTAGCAATGGTACTACACTATTGAGCAATCTCTTCTTCAAAAGAAGAAAAAGATATTATTTTTTAAATAGAGGCAGGAGATAAATATATAAAGAGAGCAAACAAAGTTGGACAGAGACACACACCAACGAATCTTTTTGTTACACTGGGTATATGTTGTCTTTTGATTTTGAACTCGATTGTCTCCTCTTCCGCTCTATGTTTGGCAACATATACCCAGAGTAACAATTTGGGGACAATGCAAATGGGAAAAAAATGAATAGATGGAAGAGTACCTTTCAACAACACAACTTTGAAATGAACAATATTGGAGAGTACTTGGTGATGGTGAACTGGCCGGAGCGATTGCCGGTGCCGGAGAGGGAGTTGGAAGAGGAGAAAAAAAGCACTGTTGTCAATGGTCGTTACTGATGGCCGGTGATTTTTCTGATTTGAAATGAAAAAACAAAATATCAGAAAGAGGGTTTCTCTGATTTAAAATGAAAAAACAAAATATCAAAATAGAATACGAGGGTTGGAGAGTACTTGGTGACGGTGAATTGGCTGGAACGATCGTCAGTGCCAGAGAGGGAGTTGGATCCAAGCTCGGGCGGAGGGGAGTAGAATAGGGTCAGGCACGATTTGAGGTTGAGGGGGCAGGAATGTTGAAATGAAGATGTTTTTGGACTCATTTTGGGGCTAACGGGACAAGCTAATGGCCATCGGGTCAGTTTTTTGGTTGGCTCGCTAAAGTTGCATCCCTACGGTTTGCATTTCATTCTTCTCCTAGATTGAAGCTTAAGGGCCCAACTAGTTTGCAGAAAACTAGAAAATAGGGTTGCTCATAAGAAGACCCAACCCGAGTCGGTCGGGTTTTCTTCAGCACCAGTCAGTTTCGAGTTATAAAAAAATCATAAACCGATGATTCGGTTCGGTTTCGATTTTCATGTGTAAAAACCGAAACCGACCCGAACCGAACCGACTTAGTAGTTAGTTCCTAGTTAGTAGTTACAACMTACTTAGTTCCTACTTAACTAAGTTGTCTCTATCCTAGTTACAACCTACTTAACTAAGTTGTCTCTCAAACTCTGCTCCCTCTACAACTGGATCCATGGATGGGCCACAAAACATTAAGGAAACGTTGGTTTTCTTTGGGAATGTAGAGCCAGAAATGAACACTTGAACAGCAACTAAGTCACCACTAAGTAGAGCCGAAACCGACCCAAACCGACTCAAACCGATCAGGTCGGTTTTGCTTAACACAGGGTCGGTTTCGATTTCAATTTCAGGTAACCCGACCAAGTCGGGTCGATTGGAAAAACATCAGTAAACCGACCCAACCCGACCCATGAACAGCCCTACTAGAAAAGAAAAAAAGAGGATAAATACACTATATTAAAAGATCACTCACTCTATGCTACCTTCTTCAATGGTTTCTCCAAGAAACCAAAGTGGAGAAATAACTAAATGCCCATTCTTATGTGACTTGTGACTTTGTCACTTATTTGGCATTACTGATCCTATCCTACTGTAAAGAATGAGACTTGGGGTGTATTCAGTTCTTATGGGACTAAACATATGTTGGAGCCAAAATAAATGAAGCCCAAAAACATTCAAAATTGTGGGAGTTGAATTGCTCAAGTTTGTTTCCCTTCCCAATTGCATATTCTCTTCGAGACAGAATATAGGATTTGTATATTGTGTTCTAAATCTCTTTACTGAAACAGTTGTATTGGAATCTGGTATCAAGCCACAAATTCGATACAACTTATCAGTTCTGAAGAATAAAATTTTCCAATCAAATAGATTTAGGATCTGTTTGGTTCGAGGGAATAAGACCCTGGAATTGGAATGGGTCATTTCGATTCTGAATGTTTGGTCGACCAGAACGGGAATGAATAGGTGAAATGGGGAATGGCCATTCCCGACCCCCTCCCTCGGAATGTGATTCCCATTCCGCCATTAGTTTTGACAAAAAAGCCCCTCCAAACCAACCTGCGATTGAGTTGCTGTGAAAAGGAAGAATCACTTGTCGTTGCCATCTCCGGTGAGGTAAGACCACTGCCAACCATCTTTCTCCTCCTCCTCCTCTCATTCTTCCTCCAAATCAGCTACCACTCTTCTTGCTCCTCCTCATCCTTTTTATTTAACTATTGTAAAATATGGTGGTTCATTTTATAGATCCGCCCCATCTCCACTTCGGATCTGCCCTGCTGTGATTCATTTTACAGAGCTGCCCTATTTTTGTTCGTTTTAATCTGCTTCCTACTCTGGTGAGACATATGTTTTGTTTGGTTTGATTATAGCTCTGGGAGATCGGCCGGTACATATGTTTTAGGATTTTCCATACATTTGTTTGGTTTGATTATAGCTCTGGTTTTATGACCTATTTTGCACCTTATCCCCTTGACTGTAAGCCTGAACGGCTCCTTCTGATAGACTCCAAAAGCGGCAAATAGCAGTGCAGAAGGGTTAGCAAGGGACAATTGGCAGGCTCAAAAACGACAACATTGGAACATGGCAGTTAGACATATATTGTGGGAAGTAGAAAGTTTAGCTAGGGAATTAAGAGTAATTTTCTCATGGACTTTGAGATCAATGAACAGAATGACATGCATTAGCTAGGCAGGAAGTGAGCAGAAGGGTTGGAGTTGCAGGAATGTAAAAATTGGAACTTTTGGGTTAGCCATCAGTGCTGGTCTGTATCTTTACAGGTTCTAGGCAAACTTTCCTTTGTAATCAAACCTATTCTTTATACATTTCTTAATAAATCTGAACAATTAAACAATAAGAAAGATAACAAGGGAAATCTGGCTTTGGGGGCCTGGTGCTGTTGTATTTGTTCCCTTATTTGGAACATTGTTTTTCTATATTTCTTTGTTAAGGAAATTTTCATTTACTGTTGTTGATACAAATAAGGCACACAAATAGTTCAAACATCAGTCTTTTTCTTGTAATAATCTATCAAAGATAACACATGTTTATTCTTCTGCGAAGGCAAACATAAGCACACAATCAATAAGCCAGTGCCATCGCTAGTAGAACTCAGACTTCTTTCAAGCCACCATTCAAGTTTACTGTGTCAAATGTGGGTGAACTCTGTAAGCTTCGGCATCCACCTTTGTTTCCACATTCATATAATTGGTCTCCAGAGTATTGAACTTTTAATAGAAGGCGAAATCCATAGTACATGAAGGATATATACTTCAACCACTGCATAAATGCTGGTATGTGCTGCAAAAAAGGATAACAAATAAAATAGAAAGCATGAAAGGAATTGACCCTTAGGCATTTAAGGAATGGGGAATGATTTTTTTTTAACCTTTAGGGTTTCAATAGGCCAATATAGAAATGAATTTTCATTGATAGGTCCAAAGTTTTTGTAAGGCCATGGATGAAATAAATGGAAAACAACAGTAATAATGGAAAATTTTAACTGACATAATAAGAAGCGGAATGGTATATTTAAACAAGTATGATTGAATACCTGGACATAGTAACCTCCAGTGAGGAGAAACAACATTAGGACCAAAGAGGCAATCATCCSAGCTCTTTTGATGCTTAAAACAGCAGCACCAAAGAGTTCCCCTGCTCCCTAAGTACAGAATTAGATCAGATTAGTTGTTGACTTGACAGATGACGACCAGTTAAATTATTTGTAGGTTCTCTACTTGGCTTGTTATTACAATCAATAGTACTGAGAATAATGTCATGAAGAAGAAAGGGACTGTTCTCTTGAAGTCAGCCATGAAATATAAAATGAGCATGAAGAATGTAGGATACAAAATACTCAAAAAAACAGAAAAAGCATCCAGTTCATTTTGAGTCCAGTCTCTAAGTCTCCTACTTTTTCTGTTTATTTCAGCACTGTTAAATTGTTCAGGATCAGATCAAAGGAAGCTCAAAAGAATGAGCTTTCTGGGGTTAATTATCTTTCTTGACAAAGAAAATGCTCATTATGATGAAGAGGATGATAATCTACTGCAGAATTCATGGGCTTTGATATCACTGCATATGATAAAACTGCTCCATTTAGCAACAGTTTGTTTTATCTATCACTGGCTAGTACTATATAGTATATTCTAAAAGCTTAGATGCAACTTGTGGAAACCCAAGGTCAAACTTATGAAGATCAAGCCAGCAGCCTTAACATATCAACTCACAGGCTGCAGATGCTATTTCTTCAATATCTCTTAAAGAAAGTCTTGGAGATATAGAAGGTTATCTGTATAGTTCAGCATCCCCACCCAAGGGTTTGAATTGTTTTGGAATTTTAGAAAACCTTTGTTTATTAATTTGGTATTTCTTAGGCAGCAAGTTTTAGAATGCCACATAGCAAATGGTTTGGGCAGTTCACGAAGGGTGTGTCTATTACTTTTCTCTATGTATATCACTGTATATCTGATGAGAATAAGTGGAAATAAATAAAAAAAAAAAAAAAGCTTTGAAGTTCTTGGTTTTAATGTCTGCTGCTTCTAATTCTGTTTCCTTTACTGTTGACTCTTTGTGTCCTTTGGTGCCAACCCCAACTCCTGATCTACCGTGTAGGTGTAGGACTTATTATCCCAGCTCCTGATCCTGAGAGTATGTGACAGCAAAAACTAACTAATTAGATGGTTTCTGTAACACCCTTCAGTTCCAAAATAATGGAAGGATAATAACCATTTGGTTAGTGGAATCCTGTAAAACTATTACTCCCTTACATTTGTAGTCGTTGCACTGTGGTTGGTCAGCTATGTTTGGTGCTTGTAGTGTAATATAGTTGGTTATATTTATCAAACGTATTCTTGGTCAATGTTCTAGAATCTATTCCACTTTGACATTACTAGTGTGGCATCATTCTGTTGGATTGCCCAGTAAGAGCAAGAGTTACATTCTCAAATCATGGGCTATATTCAGTTAAGTAACAACTGACTGATCAATCAACTAGAGAATGCAGTTCAACAATGCTTCTTTTTGGAAACCAGGGATCCAGGGTGGATATTCCACCTGAGATTCCAAAACTGGTATTAGCCTTTTTAATTCCTTTTGTGGTCAAGATCCTGATTGAGTGGTTGTCCTTCACATATTTCCATTTCTCAATTTCAGAAATTGCTTTTCTGGCACAAGGTTTTCTTAGAAGCCCTAGTCAGTAGCTTTCTCTATGCTTTACATGGTATTTGTTGAAAACAATTGTTTTGCAGGTTTAGTTGAAAAGTGTCTCTTGCACGGTTTAATGGTTAAACATTTTGTCACCTATGAAATCTGGATACCTGTATATGAGTGTTATGTCATGTTGGATATTCCGATTTTTGGTGTAAATTGTGTATGCAACAACTTGTCCATCCACACTTGACTTGAGTCTAGATAAAGATGTTTGTACCTCTTAAAGTTTCACTAAGCTGGGATGAAAGGAAATTGGAATATGCATTTGCTCATTTCCCCTACTGCTTTTTTGGTAGGGGAGCTTGCACTTTATTGTTTCTTTCTCTGTAAAATTCTCTTGGTGATTGACAAAAGTAGCTTTGCCCGATATTTTTACTTACACATTACACATTTATATTTCTCAGTTGTACTTTTGAGTTTGTTCATTTCTCATTTAACATCCCTGTAGACTTCAAGAAATACAATTTTTGTGTCCTATCTGATTTTGTAATTTGTAAAATCTTAAATTCCAATAATTTTCTGCAACCTTTCCCACCTCTAGGGACTCTGTTTGGTCTAAGTTTCATCTTCAGCATGTGCACCATTCCTCCCTTTTGTTCACCAATCATGAAGTTCCTATTAACACTACATTTTCATGACGGTCTGTACATATGTATGATGCTGTGAATCTTCACACACACACAGAGACATATTTATGTAATGATTTCAAATGATTCACAAGCATCCTAGACATTTATTTTCATTCATTTTTTTTTCGAATTTTTTGCAAAATTATTGTAATTTCTGCAATTTTCTGATTTTTTTTTTGCAAAATTATTGTAATTTCTGCAATTTTCTGATTTTCTTGCAATTTTCTGCAAAATTCCTGATATTTTCATTCATTTTTCTGATTTTATTTTTGCGAAATCATTGTAATTTTTGCAATTTTCTGATTTTCTTACAATTTCTGCAATTTTTGCAAAATTCCTGATATTTTCATTCGTTTTTCTGAATTTTTTGCAAAATTATTGTAATTTCTGCAATTTTCCGATTTTATTGCAATTTCTTGCAAAATTTCTAGTATTTTCATGCATTTTCTGAATTTGCTGCAAAATTGTTGTAATTTCTGCATTTTTCCTGCAAAATTTCTACATTTTTTTTTTTTTGCAATTTCTACAATTTTGAGTATTTTCATGCATTTTTCTGAATTTGCTACAAAATTATTGTAATTTCTAGCGGATCATGTCTTCTTAGGTCTATTCTGGATGTACAATGCAATTTCGGTAGTAATATTCCATTTCAGTTGAAAAATGCAATGGGATGTTTGGGGTAGTATAAATGATCAAGGGGTGGTAACTCATATCACGGGCGGAAACTTTGCGCAGAGTTCAGCTTCCGCCTTGAAAGGTGTACAGCATACATATTCTTATGATTTCATTCAAACCATTTCGATTTATAATTGCCGTGTTTGTTGCAAAAGAGACACGAGTGCTATATTGATATCMAAATAGATATGGACTTTAGTGAGAGCGACACGGATTACTATCCTTTGGTTATTGCCAAATCGATTGATAATCAATGGAAAAAACTCTTTTTTTCTTTCTTTACTCCTTTTCCCCGAGAGGGCTTAGTTGATCCATGATTTATGTTTCATCTTTCGTTTGTTTCGAGAAAGATATCGATCAATTCYGATTCTTTCTTTYTCTATTGATTCTTTTYCGATCGAGATGTATGGATCCATGGATCTATGTGTCTATATAGATCHTGTTCATGGATTAACGAAAATGTGCAAAAGCTCTATTTGTCTCTGCCATTCTATGAGTCTCTTCCATTCTGCGTATGGCATCGCCACTCCCTTTGGCAGCATCCACTAATTCGGAACTTTAAATTGAAGATTTATCCATGGATTCTTTATTCATACTCGTTCAATTGGAAATGTTGATCCAACTCAAAAAAAAAAAAAAAAATTATGCTTCGCGATTTCATAATCCAATTTTTTCAATTTATAATTGACCCTTGGATATACAAATCACGAGAATGTATATTCTTCCTCAAATCTGCAAATTTTCTGCATTTTTTTTATTTTTATTAGGGGCAGAATTGAAAATCATGACTGAACCAAACAGGTAAGGGGAATAGACCATTCCAATTCCGATCCCATTCCGATTCCGATGATAGAATTTGAAGAAGAAGAAGTGGAGATATATATATATATATAGTTGTGTAAAAGGGGCATATACAATAATTTACAACAGTGACACATTAGATCTCATGCCGAGTCAAGGAAGCTTTTGTTTTCTCATTGCAGAGAGCCAAGGAGGCTTTTGGGCATTTCAATTAGAACTCGTCATCTCCAATTTCTCTTCCTGTTCTTTTCTTTGCCCAATTTAAACACTCCAAAACTGTAAAGAGGGGTGTTCTCTCCGCCAGATCAGTTGGGACCCCAGCAGCTTAGATACATTACTTTCCTGAGTGACTCTTCAGATTGCTTCATCTTCTCATGGTCTCTCAGGGCCTTGTGAGAAGCGAGACGACTCCTAGCCTGAGAGAACGATCCCATATTGTTCTTGGCATGTTGGTGGAGACGCCTAAGAGCATAATTCCATCTGCAGATCCCTTGATCCTTCAATACTTCAACAGCTCCGACGCTAGCTGCTACAATCCATGCTCTTCTAGTAGAACTCATTTTCCTTTCTTCTTTCTTGAGGTGCAACCTCTCTCAAGTTTGTGAAACAGTCTTTGATGGGTGGTGATTGATATGGATAGAAAGTTGTTAGCTTGCTATATATATAGATGGTGAAGAAGATAAAGATGATGACTTCTTGGGAATTCCAACTTCTTGTAAAAACCAGGGGCAGTTTTATCAGTGGTTTGGAAAAGCAAGCGGTTTTGGTTTTGGATGCATTCAATTATATGCCACAAAGGTACTAAAAGCAGTTGTTGTCTTTAAATGGGGACACAACTATCCACCAAAGCAGAGAGAGTCACATGCCTGAGCTTCACTTTAATGAAGTGAACCCCTTTAAAATATAGATAGAAGTGGGGCTGGCTTAGCTAGCAAATGGATTGGATCAATCAAATATATGTAGATCCAAATTTGGTTTGTTTGTATTCAGATTCAAATTCAGTTTGGATACAAATGGGTATTGAATAGCATTGAAAAATCAAATTAAAAAAATGGCATTATTGCATATACTATTGCTCAAAATTGATTCAAAATGACTTTGGGAAATAAAGAAAGAGCAAGAGGGAAATAACCAGCCATTGAACAGTGGCATCACAATTCACAAACAAACAAGTAGACGAGGGGGGACCATGGTGTACTATTGGTATTAACTAGCTCATGGTTTTCTCTTATAACCTGCTTCTTTCCAACATTTTCGGGACGATTCATGTCCACCAAAGGCCAATTTTGAAAAAAAACCAGAATATAGAGGACAATGTCTATAAAGCCCTACAATAATACCAAGTTCATCCAACCAGTAAATCTCTCAATTACAATTAAGACTGTATTTGGAAATGATGCAAATAGAGTGTAAATCCCAGTTCAGGGTAAATTTATAGTCTGATTCACTTTTGCTTGTATTTAGCAGTATTACATTTTTGCATTGACAAATGACAGACTAATGCATATTTACATTGATAATAAGATGTAGAAGTACATCAATAAAAAAGAATTAAATTTGCATTCAAGTGGGCTTTCTGCTTTTGATAAAAAAAAGAAAAAAAAACATATACTTTACTGGAATTCGTATTTGCATCCATTACAGCTAAAAGTCTGTTTGGTAAGAAGGTGAATTTGTTAATGCAAAACTAACCCAATTTTATAATTTATGTGAACCGTTTTACACTCTACATATTTACATTCACACATTTGCACTGTTTCCAAATGCAACTTAAATTGCAAAGCCTTTGGTACACTAGGATGGTGTTTGGAACTGTAGCTATTATATAACATTGCACTAAATCTTAATCAGCAAATCAAGCATTCTGCAGGGAAAAAAAAATAAACACTGAATCCTGCTCATACAAGCAGATCTAGAGAGATGACAAACATTCTCCAGAAAACAGAACTGCAGGAAAAACCAAATGCATGCCCGTACATATATGACTAATAATTTTATTGATTATTTTAGCACTATTGATACTATCCTATTGTAAAGAGTGATGATTTAGTGAATTCAACTCTATGCTGTTTGGTAAGAACAAAAAGTTCTCTTTATATTTTCACTTTTTCAACTTCATACATCTAGTTGATTCATCAAAACACTTGAGATATAGATCATATTTGGAATGCCCAATTCCTCAGAAATCAGTAGAGAGAACAGTCACTTTGAATTTCATATCCAAGAGCATTTCTTGAAGCACCAAAAGATGGAGCTCTGCCAAATGTGGAAAACCCATATCAAAAAGTGGAAATTTTCAGGAATCAACTGAAATTTTTCATACCAAACATGTTTCTCGAGAAAACACAGAAAAATGCCACATCAGCAATCCTTTCTACCAAATGTGTAAATATTTTCTAAGGAAATGTTCTAAGATTGCAACAGGAAATTGTGATTCCTGAGAAAATTAACATTTTCCCTTACCAAAGACCATCTAAAACATGATTGCCCTATGGTGTTCATCACTTGTTGGAAACAAAACATCAGACAATAAAAAATTATGATATTTTTCTCTGTTATTTAACCAAGAAAAAAAAATGGACACATTGTCTTGTAAACACAGATAAGATGCTAGAATATATGTCCAACAGGTCAGTTTACAAGAAACCAATATTAACAAATTGGAAAATAAGATGGAGAAAAGTTAAGGGTTTCAATCGATTTGGTATATTTTGGTGCCATGAAATTAATGAAACCCCAAAATGAGAAAGAAATTGTGGAAAATCCTCTCTAAATTCTGTTTCCCTTTCAATCCAAGACCAATTTATCTGTCTACACAGAAAATTATGTTGATGTTGTAAAATTTGAAGAAGAAGAAGAGAATGTGGATGTAACTTTTGTATATACTAGTAGAGAATCAAATTCTTAAAGAGAAAGGAGAAAACTAGCATTTTGCCTAGAACCATTCTAAGCGCTTTTTTGACAAAACTGAATTTTCCAAATTTCCAATTCTAAATCAGAACCATATGCTCTGGTACCACTGAAGAATGGGCTGATAATCTCACATAAAGATGGGATCTTTATGGGGAAAACATGGAATTTCAAATTTTCCAAAATCGACCCAAATAGAAAACAGTATTTCATGTAAGAAAACTGGTTTTCTCTAAAATTACTTTAAAACAATCACGCCAAATAGGTTTCCAACAAATTGGAAAATGTATTACCTAATCCAAAGTACACAAATGCAGCTCCTAAGTGGTTAACACACTCAAAGAATTGGGTCCAAGATCTATCCCAAGCTGAACATAGCACAGACAAAGGAGATCTGACTTGCTAGCTATGAAGGAGAATCGATGTAGAGTTTTAATTTGCACTCTCCAGGCTTGATCAATTCAGTAATGGTATTCTTATTTTATCCACTAAAGAGGCTGTAGTTTTTATTTAACATCTGAGGTGGGAGAAGAAAAAAGCTCTCTTTTCCCTTTGATCAAATTAATGTTGCAATTAATCATGGCAAGGATTGCTTAACCTATTCTCCCTCTTCTATAACTTCTACAGCTATGATTTCTTAAAATCCAAGTAGGAGTTTCCTATTACTTCCCTAGATGAATAGGAAACAACCCTAATTACTTACTTGGGATAAGGGAGATCTAATAGGTTTCCTAATTCAACCACAAGTTTCCAACTAACCATCTAATCTAACTAGATAACCATCTAGTCAAACTAGGAAGTTGGAAATTAACTTACCTATTAAGTTGTCCCAACTCCCAATCCAAATCCTAAGGGTTCAGTCCACATATTAAAATAAATAGAACGAAATTCACTAGGTCATACTAGTGAGTTGTCCTAATACATGTTAGGCCCAAATTCAGCCCAGCAAAGTGTTATAACTTTAACTTGGGTTTCAACATATGAGCCCATGTCCAATAGTTTGAATTGAGAAATGCCCAATAGGTTATTGGCCCAATAAGAAATTTGTAATTAATCTCTCAACCAATAATATCCAGACACTATAGACAGGGAAGGACATCTTCCTTGATTGCGAGTTGCGCCTGCAAGATAAAGTGTTATACCCTCTACTCAAATGGATTCCATGATTATAACCAAATTGCAACTTTTATCAAAATAAAATATTTATTTACATAAATACATTTTACAAAACAATTTCAAAACTTTGTAAAATCGTGGTACATAGTTTTAGGTTTCCATTAAAAAGAATGTACTATGAGGTATTCTCTTTGTCTAACAAAATAGTTGATCCCATCACAGTGCTCAGTTGTCTTTCCAATCTACTCCAAATACCTAGTATTTGATCCTAGAATGATCTTACTAGTTAGCATATCAAAAGCAAATCAGTCTGATATCAAGTAAAGTACCATTATCAAGTCAGGAGATTAAATGCAACTTTCCAATTTTTTACTTTTGTCTCCATGGTTTAGGGTCAAACTAGAAATGATCCCATTCAATGTTTCTTAAACATCCACTTATTGTACCTTCTTAGGTCTAAATCAACTAATTGAAACCAACTGCTTCACCAATTCGATAGCATAAGAGTGCCAACCTTGGCATGATAAACTTCTCATATTTATCAACCTACTAAGAACTTTTAGTCTTATAAATGTATAGACAAGAACTACTGCATAAAAACACGCCAAAATAAACTTGAAATAATAATTGTTAGTATACATCATTCTTATGGAGCTAAGGCTATACACTTTCTAACATCTTAATAGTCCTCACTTCTTGAATCTTTAAAAATATCCATCTAAATATAATTTATTTTATAATTAAAAGCACTTGCTACTAATAATATCAATCTCTTCTATGCATCTGTAGGTTCCATTCTACCAACAAACCAACCTATCTCCTTGCACCAAATAACATATACAAATGGAGTTAAATCCCAACTTCACCACTAGATTCTTGTCCTTTATTCTCTATTCCTTTTTCTACATTTCTTTGGTAGGTACCTTTGTCTTCCCAAAGAAGCGCTTCCCACCAAAAGTTGCTACCTTCCAATAAACCCAAAGTCTAGTTTTTCCATGTTTTATGCATTCTATGAAACCCAAAGTCCAATTTCAACTCTATCTCAATCACCTCTCCTTACTTGGCTCCAAGGTGGCCCAGGTTGCAATTCCATGCTTGATAACCTTTATGACATCGTCCTTTGGATCATGGATTTTGAACAACCCAAGCAGAGACTTCCTACTATTTAATCCAAGTTTGAAATCAAATTCTAATGCTTGGAATTGTAAATTTTTGTCTTACTTTTCCGTGATAATCCAATTGGGACAAGTGTAAGTATTACTTTAACACCGGCCTAAAGAAATAATAAGGGATATGAATAGTGTTGTCCCAATTTATATCAATGGTGAAAGCTACACTGGAAAGTATATTTCTGCAATCAGGTCGAATATTCTACAACAAAATTCTCTTGTGACTACTTCCCACCAATTAAATTTAAGGCTATGTCTGGTTTGATAAAAATAAGTGAAACAAAAAAGTTAAGAGAAAGTTTTTAACAAAATTTATGAAACTCCTTAAGAACTTTCCCTCAACTTTTTATTTTCTTTCAAGCCAAACATAGCCTAAGGGGAATTGTAATTGGTAATAAGTGGACAGACCCTATTACCCAATTGGCTGAAATTCCCACAACTATTTATTTCTCGATTTTAATTAATGAAAAACAAAAGTTCGACTTTAATTAATGGGTTTTGCCTTAGGAATGATCATTATTTAAATAATTTAAAAAGCATGCAACATTGATGTATGTGAACTACCTTTGCTAGAAGATCATATGAAAAGTGCATGGTCCAACAAAGCATGGATTAATAAATTCAAATGGGATGATTAATCAAAGAAACTCCTAATGGCTAGGAAGAAGATTTAATTAGAAAGTAGATGGATTACTTGTGGGTTATAAATGGGGGAGTTTGACTCATGTTGTTTTAGAGGCTGGGCACTTGATCCCTAGGGTTCAACCTATGAGTGCTCAAGAAATGATTGAAGATTGGGTCTTGGAGTGTGGTATTTTCATAGATTAGAAAACTGGCATAATTAAGTCCCAATTTAGAGGATTCTCATTGAAGTCTAATCATGTTTGTCTATATAGAGGTTATACCATACAATGATCGATAATGGTATTGGCAATGCAACATCTCATCTACAACCGATTGTGTAAGTTTTACAATTTGTAGTACTTTTTTTAATTAATATCAGCACCATAAAGAAGAGATGTTTGTACACAACAAAATAATCAAAACCTTCCACACTCCATGCGAGATTTAAAGATTGTACTTTTTCACTTAGTCATGTAGCCGATCTCATATGGTTAGACAATGAATGATGAATTTCCTTGTTTGTCCATATATAAGACAAGGGTTGGACATTCATATGCCAAGAGGACCATACAAAATAATCTGTTACATAAAATGTGCCACACCTAAAAAAAGGGGGAGAGGGAGAGATCCTTTTGGAACCCTGATTTTATACATCATGCAATAACAGCTTCCAATCCACAGGCAGTTTACCATGAACATGGCATACATGTAAGCAAGGTTCTAAATAGCAACATGCCCGATACGCCAGTAAGGGTGTGTATCAGGCGTATCGGGCAGTATCGATACTTTTTTTAACTTTTTACAAATTCAATTTGGGAGGAGGGGCAGTTTAAGGTTTCTCCACCTCTTGAACCGGTCAAAACCCCAATACATCCTCTATAAGGACATATCGGAGTATTCTCAATACGATACGCATCAATTGATACAGATTAATACATATCAATTTTTTGAACCTTACATGTAAGAGAGATATTTCTAATGCATAGTTGAATGCTATGTGAATAGATCCAGATTCGGGGTTTATTGCACCTCAAGATGCAAAACCTTGTATTTTGTATTATACATATTTTTGTATTTGTACTCTTTCCAAACTGAGCCTTGCAGCAGTTACCACAACTGCATTTTCTATGAATAGCCATAGTTAGTGCAACTGGATTCACAAACCAAACTCAATCCATCTTGCCATAGAATCACAATTAATTAATCATTAAATCAATAAAAAGTAATAGTAATTAGACAAAAGATTAGAGGCACTAATTTATTGATGATGAAATGGATACATTTGTTACAGTTTAGGTAATTCAACCCATCTCACAACAAATTTCTTTCAAACACTCCAAGTAGAAGGTCAACACATAATATGACATAATGAAGATGAATTCTATGACAAAATGCTGCTGGGAAGTTTGTGGGGGACTAGTCATCATGATTGATGACCTAATTTTCTTAGATATCTAACGACGACGATTAATGAATTATTCGTAGGAACCATGCATGCATGCATCTACTTTACGTATCTTTAATTTCTTCACATAATATGACTGATATTTTAAATGACGAAGAAGTCAATGACGACCACCAGCACCAATACCAAAGCCTGCTCCACCTCCAAATCCAGCACCAATACCGGCACCTCCACCACCACCTCCACCAAACCCACCACCACCACCTAGGCCCCCGCCAGCACCTGCGCCACCTCCAAAACCTCCTCCAATCCCAAATCCACCTCCTGCACCTGCACCTGCACCACCACCCAGTCCACCACCTCCACCAAGACCACCACCACCACCCAGTCCACCACCTCCGCCAAGACCACCACCACCACCCAGTCCACCACCTCCGCCAAGACCACCACCACCACCTAAACCTCCTCCTCCACCAAGACCGCCACCACCACCTATACCTCCCCCTAGTCCACCACCCTTACCAAACCCCTTAAATCCCTTCTTATAAATCCCATGGCCTAAACCCCCCTTGTACCCAAAGCCAAACCGACGTCCAAAGAAGTGCTTATCATCCCCAACACCATTAGCATCAGCAAAAGCTACGTCGGTAACAAGAAAAGCAAGGAAAACAAAAGCTGCAACATAACGACCGACTCTCATCTTAATTAGCACCATCCCCACCACCAAGCACAAAGCCCAATTTCCCTAGACAAGAAAGCAAAGTAATTTCAAGATGTGATGCAACTGTGGGTGTCTTGTAGTACTATTTATAGAGGGCAAAAAAGAAAAGAGAGATGGACGCCTTTACTACCACACACACACTCACACACTGCGAGAGTCTTCTATCACCCACCAGTACTGGGTAAATGAATCTTCATCTGTTAACGGACAGGTAATTATTTTCCAACCGTCCTACTCCACTCCAAACACTGAGAATTAAAAACGATCTGTATTGGGGGTTCTTAAATTCCACGGACCCCTCAGTTAGTTAACTGATGGATCCAGTAGTTGGCCAATTTTCACAAAAAGAGACATGGAATTGAAGCTGAACACACTAAAGCTTCGCTCTCCTAACTGACTTTTTTTAATGGCGTTCGTGATCATCCAACAACCTATCACCTTTTTTTTCTTTTTTTTATTATTAATTTACTTATTAAAATGGGATTTGAAAGTTAGTAGAGTTGGTAGTTCACTCATAGTGTATGAGATTGCACCACACATGCATTGTTAATTTGGTCCCACCTAATAGTAATAGATTAACCAAGACGGAGCATGTTGAATTAACAGACCATAACTATTACAAAATAATTAAATTTCTAGTCTGGACAAACCAAAAATAACCATAACAGGCCATAACTATTTCAGGATTAATGGAGAGTACCCCCCAAATATAAAAATACTATAAAAATATTACAAAATAATTAAATTTTATGAAAAATTACCATAAATAGTTATTTTTCAATCATCTTGGACCATAATTGAAACATGACCGAAATTCCAATTTTCAAAGCCTCGGTTAATTGCTGGTTATGTTGTATAAACTTAGGTTGGAGTTTGGAGGAAAAGTTTTATTAGCCAAATACTGAGTATATATAATAGGTAGTGATGAAAGGTAATTTGGCCCGACCCATTGGGATACAGATACGTGGAACTACTTAATGACTGGATGGTTCCAAACTGAGCCTAAAGAATAAATGCTTTTTAACCTTTGCCTTCTTATAGTAAGTGATGAATGAAACCACGTCAGTTTGCTATGTCATTCTCAATGTAGGTGGATGTATTATTTAATTACTCAATTTTACAATATTAAGATCAGGTGCAGAAGTGTGAATACTATCTAATATGCATGTAAACTTTTCCTTCATTCATGTTGTTTATTTTTGGATAATGATATATAAATTATTCTACCAAACAAAGCGTTATAGCTTTTCTCTCACCTAAATAACAACTGAAATTCTATAAAATATTTGCATAAATGTAATTCGATAAGTAATTACACGTGGTTATTATGCTATTTAAGCATGCATGAAGCATATCTTTTCTCGTTTCTATAGACTTCATGATTTTTTGTGGTAATGGATTTGGTGTTCAAAGTTTAGATTTGTAATAATTTTTCGTTTTAGTCAAGACAATGGCGAACTGATGATTCTTAATGTAATTAAGGATCTTTCGCTTAACATTTCATTTTGTTACCAATACTTATAGCAATAAAAAATGATAATGAAAGGATGAAACTGACTTTTTTGGTCATGAGTATTTAGGATTCAAAATATCGGAAACACAAGGTGTATTGAAAAGAAAATTTTAAGAGATCTATTGGGATACGCTTTGGATACGCATAGATACAGATATGTTAGGAAATTCAAATATATGCTAAAAATATATTATTAATAATAATTACAAGTTTTAAATAATTGCAAATAAGTTACTTAAATGTAAAAATCCATATTTACAATCATTTAATTGTAAATAATTACAATTAATAATTGTTGAAAAATGATGGAATAAATAAAATGTGAGAAAACAAAAGAAAAACTAAAATATGAAGTGTATAGATCAATTTTCAAATAACCAATATAAATGTTGTGTATACATCAATTTATATTAATATTTATTAGTATATAAATTTGGCCTAGTAGTGACTTACAGTTGTTGAAACCTAATGACTAAGGTTCAAATCTTGCCATTGTTTTAGTTGCAGTTTACGCATACATAGCCCATGTTGGCTTTCTAGATCTTCACAAATGATAACTTCTAGCATCTCAATGTGGAGCCCAATTCAGAATGTCAGAAGCCGCATCCCAAAAGTCCTCCCAAACGGGCACTAAAACAAGTAGAAGATTAGATGTTTGAACTCCAAATAAACCAATACTCCCACCTATCGAATGTAAATTTTAAAAGAACAGAGTCTACTTATATTTTCTTTCTTTAACATGTTTGCAAGCCAAAAACATTTTATGCTTCATTTAAAACTTTAAACCATGGTTTTTAAAACCGGATAAGACAAGACAGTTAGATCGGAAAAACCGTGGTGATCAGTTCTGTTTTTCCCCAAAACTAGATATTTGCAAAAAAATGTTGATTTGATCAACAAACCACTGACCCGGGTGATTGAATTGTTTAAACCGTTCAACGGTTTTGACCATTTTTTTTTATTTTTTTTATTTTTTTGTCAAAACGGACCAACCGTTCAGTTTGAACGGTCAGACCACTCGACCCAAGAACCGGACCCCTGACCAATTCGTTCTTCGAATCGGTTTTAAAAACCTTGCTTTAAACAACCAAGAAGAATACTCATTTTCCATGCAAGGTAGAGGTGTTCACAGGTCGGGTTGGGTCGGTTTATTGGGGTTTTCCCAACCGACCCAACCTGGTCGGGTTACTTGAGGTGGAAACCGAAACCGACCCACTGATAGGCCAAACCAACCTGGTCGGTTTGAGTCAGGTTGGATCGGTTTGGGTCGGTTTCGGTTTTGCTCCTGTACAAAAGGACACCTAATTGAATTCTAATTGTAATTGCCTAATGGGTTGCCTATTTGGTATAAAAGATTATAGAAAGTTAGAAACTATGATAGATTGTCTATTCTAATTGTAGTTGCCTAATGGACCTTCTAGTTCTAGTAGAAGATTAGTTATAATTAAGTAGAAAACTACTCAAACTAGGAACTACCGAACTAGTAGAAGACTAATTCGGTTCGGGTCGGGTTGGTTTCGATTTTCATACAAAAAAACCGAAACCAACCTGATATATTGGTTTATATATTTGCCCAACCCGAAACCGACCGACTCATATTGGGTCGGTCCGGGTTGATCGATTTGGTCGAATTGGACATTCTTATCAACAGCCCTAATGCAAGGACTAATTAAGCAGCATGTCTTTTGCACATGCAAATGGAAGAGCACTTCTTATATATCAGAGTAGATAAGCAGAAAGGTTGTGACTTGTGATTATATGTTTTGCTAACTCTTTCTCTGATCCTCTTCCATAGCTGAGAAGATTGGAATAGGGATATATGTCTTTGGCAATCTGTGGATGACAACCACACCATTGTTTCTCTATGCGTTGTCTTCTATGAGAAGCATGGTTTTAAATCTCAAAAATTTCGGCTATTTCAGACCATTAGTTCATAAATTATCTTTTCAAAAGCAAAACTTTATAAATTTTAATTACTTTTTATTGATACTTTGTAGTACCTTATAGTTTTTTATATTTAGATTATTGATTTTATATATTCTAAGAATACAAATCCGAAATCCCAAATGAATGGAGCCAACCTGTTCCCAATATCCCTAAACAGCAAAATCGGCAGTGGAGATTAATTTTAAGAACAAAATATAGAATTTAGAGTAGAATTAATTATGTATAGGAACAATGAGAGAAACAAGAGAGAGATGAATTCAAGACATTAAAAGTGTGTAATAAGTAGAAAATGGAAAGATTTATTAAGAGTTTTCCTTCTGAATTTAAAGAGGCATGCTTCTCAAGTTCAGCAGAATACAATGAACATCTGGGCTGTACAGCCGCTTTAATTTATCTCTGGTTTATGATGATAGAAATGGATTGAGACCCTAGAATAAGAATTCTAGTTTTCATATACATTGCAACAGGGAAAAGGAAGAACAGTTCCATCAATGAGATATCTCCATTAATGGTTTGACATAAGAACCTTGTTATTTTATTAATGAGGCTTTTCTGGCTCATGAAGGAATGAGCCAGTTCTCTACCTCTGGATTCTCAACATGGACAGTTCTCTAACTCACAACATGAGCTTCTGCCTTAGGGTTGCCTTCATAGTTCATAGACCACTCTCAATATCCTCATCCATGGGAGGTATTGCTCTACCATGGCTGGTGAAGCTTTCTGCCTTGTCTAGGGCAGAATTGAATCATCTTAATAACTGCTCCTGAATTTATTCTTATGAACCCAAATAGTTGAGAAATTGAATCCATTGCACCTATCAAGGTATGTTTAAAGGAAGGATGTAATCAAGATCTGGGGTGGAGTCTGGGCCAAGATTTGTAGCGGGTGGGGGGGGGTACAGGATCAGTCCCAGCCCGGCCTAGCTTTGGGCTAAGCATCTGGACTCAGGCTGGACAGGGATGGGCTTTACAGAAAAAATATGGGCCCAGGCTTTAGAAATTTCCAGGCTTTGTGGTGTGGCCGTGCTGGTATGGTACGTAGTGTGGAGTGTGGACAACCAACTAATTAACAGTCCCATTAGTCTATTATCACGGGTAGGCAGGTGGGTTCCATACTTCCATTGAGAAATAGTACAGGAGCCATAAATGAAAGCATTAAAAGGACCCCATTGGAAAGTACTCTGTAAACCATGGTTTTTAAAAACGAACCGGTCAAGGGTCCGGTTATCGATTCGAATGGTCCGATCGTTTGATCTGAATAGCTGACCTGTTCTGATAATAAAATTAAAAAAATAAATAAATAATTAGAAAACAGTTAAAACCGTTCGATCGGTTCGAATGATTAACCAGCCGGTTCAACGGTTTACTGATCAAAATCAACAGTTTTGGGGGAAAAAGGGGTTTTGGAGGAAAACGGAACCGGTCAGGTCAGGTGACTGGTTCCCGATTTTTCTGGTCCAACCATCCAGTCCGATCCGGTTTTGAAAACAGTGCTGTAAACAATGAAACAAAGAATTATTGAAGGAGAGGTATGAACTATGAAGAATTGACGACCATGGGATTTTGGTTTCAGTTCTGAAAACAAAA